TGTCATAAGAATCTGTGTAATGTATCCTCAACCAGACTTTCAGACTTACCAGGAAGAATAAAAATAAGCAGTTTAGGCCTGTTCACACTTTGATCATCCAAAAGGTTAGTCCAAGGTCCACATTTTAGCACCTGGGTTTCTACTCCACCACACAAAATGAATTCCTCATGCACCGGAATGTCTTCCTTGAGTTCTGAGTCCATTTCTAAATAAGGGGAAAAAAGTAGTAGGAAGAATCAGTAAAAATGTAAAACCTTGAGCCAAAGACAATAAAAAAGGGCAAAGTTCAATATACCTTGAAGGAAATGCCACAAAGACATATGGGAGATATAACACTATTCAGCTATTCTGGATTAAAAGATTGAAAGACAAATTAAAACAAACTGTAAGAGTAGTTAGAAACAGGGAGACACATATTTGGCAAAATAAAAGACTATACAAGGGTCTGAACCAAATCAGATTAGCCTTCTCCATAGCTCTCCTCTCCTGTCTAAATTGACAATGGCCATGGATAACTTTTACTTTCCTTCTGCTGAAATTCTCTTTCAGCTCTGTGTTCTCCCTACCTTCACCTGGTGAAGACTGGTGGAAAAGTGCAGAGGTTATGGCCTGCCCCTGCATTCTCCCCAGTAGAACAGTAAGAGGGACAGTGAGCTCCATATGGTCTTTTATTTCCTTCTTTTATTACTCCTCTCCTGTCCTAAATGCTATAAGTGTATTTTCATGTATTAGGTCATTAAATATATGTCTGATTTTGAATCAAAAGTTTAGTTTATATAAGTTATCAATATCTCAAAGAAGAAGCAGTACAATTGATCAAAGTATGTGCCTGCAACACAGTTTTACCATTTTAATGGTAGCTTGTTTATGCCAGCAACGAAGAAGCCTGGAGAGCAAGTGTCAGTGAAATCACAAAAAGCGTTTTGCACAGCTTGTTGAGAATGGAATATTTTTCCTTCCAAGAAGTGGTCCAAAGCCTGGAAGAAGCGGTAGTCAGTTGGTGCAAGGTCTGGCGAATACAGTAGATGACAGAGAGTTTCCAAGTCCAGCCTCTGTAGTTTGAGCAGCATTGTTTGTGCAACATGTAGTTGAGCATTGTCTTGCAAGAGGATTGGCCTGTCTCTGTTGACCAATCTCAGCTGCTTAATCACAAACATCCTCATCATTTTGTCTAATCGGTTGCAGTAGACATCCGCTGTAATCGATAGAGCAGGTTTCATGAAGCTGTAGTGGATAATACCAGCACTGGATCACCAAATAGACACCAATAGCTTTTTATGGTGAATATTTCGTTTTGGGTGGTGTTCCAGCACTTCATCTTTATCCAACCATTGTGCTGAAAGCTTGCGATTGTCAAAAAGAATCCATTTTTCATCACATGTAACAATATGGTATAGAAATGGTTCATTTTTATGTCATGACAGCAAAAAAAGGCAAGGTTCCAGACAATTTCTCTTCTGATGCTCACTGAATTCATGCGGAACGCATCTATCCAGCTTCTTTACCTTGTCGATTTGTTTCAAATGGTCCAATATTGTTGGAATAGTAACATCAAACCTTGCTGCTAATTCACATGTAGGTTGGGATGGATTCGCTTGCATTACAGCTTTCAGCTCATCATTATCCACTTTGGTCACAGGTCAGCCACATGGCTCATTTTCAAGATTAAAATCATGAGAATGGAACTTCTCAAACCATCGACGTACTATGCATTCATTAGCCACATCCTTCCCAAACACTTTGTTGATGTTTGGAGCTGTCTGTGCTATATTCACTCCACAACAGAATTCATATTCGAAAATAACATAAATTTTTGACTTATCCATGGTTTCACAAAAATTATACTAAAAAAAAATTTCAAAGGTATCACAAGCCAAATTGTGTGTCTGAAAGACTGAGGATGTACCTTCACAATAAAAATAAAAGAAGTGTCAAAATGAAATGTAAGAGATATCAAAGGTCGAACAGTACTTAAGGAAATCAGACATTTTGTACTTAACCTAATATTATTAAAGTACTACATTATTAAATTATGAATGGGGTAGATGGAAAAAAACCAGCATATGAGATAACATCATGAATAATTTTTAGAATAATCTAAGCATGTGCAAAAATGTTGGCCCAAACTATTTCTATCACTCCTCCCTCTTTGCCTCAGTCTTCCTTGTCTACTGACAGCACCAAATCTCAAACCTTCACTGGCCTTTCTATCTTACTTTTTACTACCCTTCACTCACTCAAAGCCCAGAGTCAAGACTCGAAATGACCTTCTAGCTTTTTCTCCTCTTATCCCTTTCACTGACCTTGCACTCCAGTCTGTCTTGCCCTCGCATTTCCTTAGTGTCCCTATGTTTTTTGCTCCTACAACTTTGCTCATATTTTATCCCCCAACGACTTCCAGAATGCTTTCCCCCTTTGTGCAGTTATCAATTTATTGCCTCTCCATTCCAAATTCATCCTCCGTTGGCTTCTCTGGGAAAATGGATCTGGGCCTTTAAAATATTTTGCCTTTACCAGCAGACATAATGTTAAGCTCTGTCAGTAGAGTACACTGGAGAGACTTTGCAGGAGGGAGTTTTCTCAGAAGGTTTCTGGAGCTTATATTCCCCCCGCCCACTGTTCTGCTGCTATGAGATTTCTTTATTGTAGTGATTTACAACTGGAGATGATTTTCCCCCCAGAGGACATGTAGTAATATCTGGAGCTATTTTTCATTGTTACAACTTCGGAGAACCACTGGCATAGAGTGACTAGAGGCAGAGGTTGCTGCTAAGCATCCTACAATGGCCAGGACAGGCCCCCACGACAAATAATTATCCATCCCCAAAGGTCAATAATGCCAAGGTTTAGAAACACTCCTCTAGTGCTAAGTGCCTACAGGGTATAGCTGTCTCCAGCATTTGGCTAGCTGCTGCATGCTTTCTTTCTCCAGCTTTCTACTCAGGCGGCAGCAACATTGCAGCCAGGAGCCCCAGACCAAATGGCTACACCCTATACCCTCTCCTCAGCCTACACGCACATACCAGGCTAGCCAGCCAATTGGCCTTTCTCCCACACAGCAGCCTGGAACTTGCCCCAGGCTGTTCACAGGAATGCTCTAGATTGCTGCATATGGAGGCCTCTCCAACTTCCAATTCCAGCAAGTACCTGAAGTGGTGCTCCAACTCCCTCTGTACTCACCTACCAGCCTCAACTCACCTGCAGCCCAAGGGTTGTTACTGGGACCCTCCCAACACAGACACTATGTGCTCCACAGTGTTAAAATAATCATTTAAGTTACAGTGTGGTTTCTGTCTCCTAATTTGATGCAAACTGATATAACCCTCATGTATCTTATCTTATGCAAGTTTTGTCTATAAATCTTTCCCACCTGAGAACTCGGCTCAAATTGTACTTCCTACATGAAGCCTTCCTTGAGCACCCCAAGTAAATAAAGGAAATTAGCTCTTCTTCTAAACTCATAGCACCTGTCTTTATCATAAGGCAGCAGTGGTAAAGGTAGCCAGCTAAACTTTACCAGGCAAAAGTCGATATTTGTGTCACACCACATTCTCCCACGGCACCACAGTCAAGAAATTCACTGCAAGCACAATCTGTTCCTCCCCAGATCGAACATCTTAAGGCAATGCAATGCTGGCTAGGATGTACTAAAATGTCAAATTCCACACATTGATGGTAATAATGAAAATGGTCTTTGGAAAGCAATCTGGCAGCATGGGTCAATTATCGACAAAAGGCATAAACATTGATTCAGTCATTTTGGAGAATCAATTCTAAGAAAAA